GAGGCTATAACAATAGATTGTTGCTCGTTATATGTAAAATTTCGTTTCCGAAATTTTTAATTAGTGCACCAAGGTTGATTTACAGTGCCTGACAAAAGTTTTCCCGCGCCTCTAGCTTTCGCTAGATCACGTGCAGGCACGTGAAATTTCATTCATGTATAGTACATTGCATATACAGATTGTACTAATGTAAAAATACCTGTTTCAATCATGCATGAAATCTCAGTCAAAAAAATGCCTTTTGCTTTATATAAATGATATGAAATTATTTTTTTAAGCATCTATCTAAAAAACCCCAAGTTTTTAACTCATGAAACAGCAAAGCAAGTTTATTGTGATGAAAGTTTTATGTGCCATTGGGTAAAAAGGTGACATGAAACTAAGAACCTAAGCAACAAAACAAGGTTGGGTTGTAAAAGAGTTATTATCCAAAGACAAGACAAATGGATTTTGAAGCTGAAAAAAGAAAATGAAAACATTATATCCTCAAAAATTTGTTGTGAATATACATGTCATCAAAATAGGTTTTCAAAAAAACCCTATTTTGTCTCTATTAGAGCAATTTAGAATTTTTTATATACAAGAGCAAATCTAATTTAGGTAGTTATGTTTTTTATAATTTCATCTTTTCAAAAAAAGTGTCAAAAAATTTTATCTTTTAAGTAAAATAGATCAAAAACAATTTTGTTTTCAAATTTTAATTTCGTATCCCAAAACCCAAAATAATTTTATCGGTATGTATAGTTGTGAACTGATGAAACAAAACATTGATATTCATATGTGTACTATTCAATGATGTTTTGTAAAGATGGAGTCACTATTATAAAAAGTTCTCAAAGCCTTTGCTTAGGAAAAAGCATCAAAAAAAATATCTTTTATAGGCAAAGAAGCATAAGGATTTTGACTGAGATTTCATGGTATTTATTGACAAACGTACTTTCCACCTGAATCAATGACTAAAAAAAGCATGGCAATTTCTCAGAAGAAGAAAATTAATCTGTTCTATCAAGCATCTGACAAAAGTTCACATATGAGACTGTTATTTTTTTTAGATTTTGGCAAGTTGGTCTGTTTTATATGTAATCTTAATATATAATATATGATTACTCTGTATAAAACGGGCCTTTTGTCTTTCATTGTGAACTTTTTTAATGAACATTGCAATAGTTAGATCTTGCAAAAGAAGAATAATTTGAAGTATCATTCAAAAATCACAAAGGCTTGGAAAAAAAAAAATGATATACAGGTTCATCTCTGGCTATTGATATTACCTAACCAAAACCAATTAAAAACATCTAGAGGTTGAAGAAAATGAACCTAGCAAAAAAAAAATTAAAACTCTTAGTTATTTGAAAGGCAAAATAACAAGAAAATAGAATAGCTTATCTAAAAAATATGCAAAAAATTTAGTTAGAAGTATAAAGGGTTATATAAAAGCTTTAATTGAAGCTAAGGACAATTATACAATATATTAATTTTTCTTGTAATGCAATATATTTTTAAATAAAAAAATTTTTTACTTATCTGATCTCTGTGTTGAGTTAAAGATACAGAGAAACTTTTGTTGAGTATTGTAAATACTAGTTTTTAAGTATTTTTGTTTTTTTTTCTTTTACATGTATTCAGAATTTATATTGGGCTAATCCAGAATAGTCAAATTTTGCATACTTTGATTGACTATTTCTTTTTTAGAGATTTGTATTACTCATGCAAATAAGTACATTCAGGAATCACCAATATTCTGGATCAGATTAATTAAATTGTCTATCACTAAAAACTAAGTATCCTTATATTAAGAAAATATCATTTCCCTTTTTATTTGCAATCACCTTTCTGTTTGTATCCTCTTGCTTTTCATTAACACCCCTTTCGCTCTCCTTGATTTCACCATTTATATTATCTGCATCGTTACTATCACACTCAGTTTTCATCAACGATTCTAATAAACCTCTCATCATCGCATCTATTCTCATTACTTCGTCCAATGATGCTTCCATCACTACCATCACCTCATCACTTCGATAGCAGTTGTCAAGAACCTCTTTGTCAAATTTTAATTCCCCTTCAGCTACCAATTGTTTATCATCAGCTCTGCCTATTCGATTTCGATTGCATAATCCAAGATCACACTGTTTATATAAACTACCACCTTCTGCACGTTTTAAATTCCATTTGACCGTTTTATATCTGTCATCGGCAGCTTTTATATAACGATTGAATGTACTCTTTTCATTAGAATCTTCGGGTTTGTCTTTTAGTTTCATTCCTCTTTTCATTTTCAAATTGCCTTGACCACCTGAATTAACATTTGTTTTCCTCTTTGTTCTTGGCTTATGCGTTTTAACACTTTCACCACGCCTTCGAATGCTTTTCGCATATTTATTATTACCAAACCTAATAAGCCTTATATCCT